GGCCTCGCGCATTTCACTGATCCAAGTATTGGGGCAGCTTTGAACGACTTCGACGGCTCGCGAGCTATGCGCAGCCCACCAGGAAGATGCTACACTAGCATAGGAATAGTAGGCCGGAAGAACTTCTGGAGGCGCAGCCGTCGTGAAAGCGCACCAACTTTTCGATTCGGGAAACGGACACGTGGGTACAACCGTGGCCGAAGGCGTGATAGTGAGTGTGCAGTCCTCGATTAGCTTATCTCCGTAGTCAAGGAGCTCATCAAGGAGGACTCCAGTGGGCTTCGGTATATCGAAATATTGCGCGATGCTTTCGGTCGCGCAGTACCAAGGATCTCGGGTAGTCGTTGGCTCTGCGATGGGCATGAGCGTCAGTTGGACTGCGGGTGCTGTAACAGCCGCTTTGAGTGGAGGGGTGCCCGTGACGAGAGCCATTTCAAGTAAAGTATTGCTGAGGGTTAGTATGCTAAAGCGAGATTATCCGTGAAGTTATGTGACCGCGCAGCACTTTGAGACATACACCTTCGCTATAGTATCAATGGCTAAATACTATAATGATCGATAGGGGTTTCACGCCATGACCAAGGGCAGCTGTGCCACACATACCTCGACCCGGCTAAATGAAAGAATGATATTCTTCCAGGGTTAGTTGTTCGTCACTGCTTGCCGTCGCTTTTAGTTTACCTTAGTAGCCTAAAATGTATCGTTCTTAATGTTTGCTATCTACTAAAAACGCTAGACGCTCCCGCTCAGAGGTGCATGGCAGACACTACTGTCCTTGATAGTAGTTGCGAAACTTCTAATAGATCCAGTCGGGATAGCGCTGCTCTAAAGCTGCTTGCACCGCAGCGAGACATTCAGTCTTTCGATAGCGCACCATATCCGGCCAATCATGCTCACGATAGATCTCTTGTACCATAGCCACAAGACCCTCGCCTTTATGCCCCAGCGCCGCATCGCTAGCGATGACTGACTTCGGACCGATGGGAACGAAAGTGAGCTGTTGGAATTGATCTTTGAGCATGCCGAAGAAATCAGCAATAGCCCAGCATCCTGATTCGGCCCGCCATTCTGCCTCGTTTTCCCGCGCGTAATCGTATGGATCATCTTCGATCATGTCGCGCGAAGAACTGCTCATGACTTCATTGGGGCATTCGATCCAGTAGATGACGCCCAAATCGGTATCGAGCAGGAAGTTCGGGTTGTCTCTTCCGCCAGTCGTTAAACCGACTACGTGGGCCGGTACTTCGTCAGAGATGCTGGCGCCTTCTGAACAGACCTTCAGCGTTTCGCCGGTGCAGACACCTTGAGCTAGCTCTTCCGAGTCCCCGTGCCAGTCGGAAAACACACATTTTGGGGCTCCTTGGGGGTTCTCGAAGCTGCTTCCGGGACCAAGGATATACGGAAGATGCTTGAGGAGGGCTATTACTTCGTCCGTCTTGTTGACATCTCGCATGGAGTCGGAAGTGACAGAGGGCCAGCCTCCTTTGGGTGGCTCAAGAACGACGCTTTCTTCCATATACATGCGAGTAAGAAAGTGGTAGTAATCGCTGACCGCGGCGATGCTCGCCTCGCGCGAGTAGCTGATATCTTCGAGCATCGGCATGATGATGACGCCAGGAAGACACTGTTCAGAATAGCGTCGAATAGATTTGTGATTTAAGGCATCGCTCGTTTACCTGACTTGCCGTACACGATCTTCACTCTGCACCACCAACATGTTGGTACTAAACACCCGACAGTCCTATATTAAAGCGTTCCTACGATCTGCAGCTGTGCCGCATCACTGCTTGAGTCCAGCGAGTATGAGAGATCTGTGTAGCGGTTGTTCCCAAGATATGGCCGTGTCTCGACAAGTGCAGAGGTCAAGAGATTTCTGTATCGACTTGACAGCAGTCTGTTGTAAAACAATTCTCAAATTTTCATCAGAATTGCGATGGCAAGATATCTCTTGATTTCGCTCCATCAGGGCAGCGCACGGGGTACCCCAATGATAGGTGGTTTAGCGAACCCCTTACTGAAGAAGATGCCTCACCGATTGACAACACAAACACCTATTATCCCGACCAGTACGACTGCCTGCTAGCATGTACAGGCTGTGCAAACACGCACAGCCGGATTATGTACTTTTCCGTGGACCGTTTCGAGCTGTGCGAGAAGGCTATGCTGCTTGAGTACCCTGTCTTAGCGGCAGTTGTCGACCCTCAATCGACGCCGCTGATCCGCAGCTGCACATTGGTTGGAGGAGGCAATGAATCCATGAGCGCAGACGTCCTTCCGGAGAATCCAAGGAAGGCAGGAAACCTTTTCCGAGCGAGCTGTCAGAGACGACTTGGAGATGAGAGCTCCGGATCTATGCTCATTTTGTACTAGCGCTTATCGTCTCGGGACCGAACCTAATCCGTCGGCTCGCTTGGCAACGTGTCTACTTCCAGAATCGCGGGTCGTGATCACCTAGGTAGTTTCCTAACAATGTTGAAGGGGGACGACGCTCTTGTACATCGTTTGCGCTTGATTGTATCTAGATGTGCAAAAGTCCGACCGATCCGTGAGAGATGGCATGAGACCCGAATGCGAAGTAGTGCCTTCACACTACGCAGAATGGCGGAACCATCTCAGGTCAGTAGAAAAGTGGCCTGGATTCAGTCAATCTTGCTTTCGCGCTTTTGGTTTCAAGTCGCGACTGTTGCAATTCCACTCGAATGTAGGCGGTTAAGGTCGGAAGCGCGCAAGGCTACCTAGATTGTGCTCACCTCAGCTCTGTGACCTCACTAACACAACGCATAGATTTCCCAGACAGCTCGTACGAAACGGAGGTCTCGGCTTCTGTGTTCAACTCGGCCCTCGCGGTTTGGATGACTGCGATGCGTTGAGTTTCGGACCTATTCAGTATAAAACCACCTGGGCATCGACTCAGCCACTTGGAATGAAAACTGACATATCTATACATCTCGGATCTAAAAACCTCTTCATCCATTTTCGGTCACAAGTATGCGTTATCAACTTTGTTTCTTGGTCTGCGCGAGTATTTCTGCTCATGGAGCAGTCCTCCCACCCCGGGGACAGGACATATCGTCCTTCTCGATTGGCACCAGTACCAGTAACAGTAAGCGTGCATCTGCACTTGCAGAGAAGCGAGCTGGCTGGGAATATGGTCCCTCAATTGCCGGCAACACGGCATTTTATCCAGCTGGCAGTATCGGTGGACCTGTTGCAAAAGCGCAAGGAGACAGCTTGGAAGCTTTCCAGGACAAACTGAGCGTCAAGAATGATGTGGATGCTAAAGCTGCCCAAGCAGCCATTGTGGCAGTAAGTACATCTGAAAGACAGATTCCGGAGATATATGCTTAGCATACCTTAGGCTGGCGGCTTGCATACTTTGGATGACTATGCGAAGCTGTACAACGGCCTGTGGAAAGAAAGCGCGCCCAAAGGTCCATATCCAGGACTCTTGACTAATTACACAGAAGACCTGATCTTCTCAATGACTCAGCTCTCGGACAATCCGTACAAGATCGTGCGGGTGTCAAAGGACGCAAAACTTCCTTTTTCCGTCTCCGACGCCGACGCGATATCGGGGCAGACACTGGAAGCGCTCCAATCCTCTGGCCGTCTCTTTCTTGCCGATTATCTGGACCAGAAGTATCAGACACAGTCCGCTGGCAAATACGGCGCTGCCTGCCAAGCGTACTTTTACATCGACCCCAAGTCGCAGAACTTCCTGCCGCTCGCCATCAAATCGAATGTAGAAGGCTCTGACCTCGTCTATACCCCTCACGACGAAACTAATGATTGGTTGCTGGCCAAGATGATGTTCAATCTTAACAGCTTCTGGTACGCGCAATGGTATCATCTCGGAGCCACGCACGTGGTGAGTGAGATTGTGTACCTGAGCGCTATCCGGACGTTGAGTGAGGAACATCCTGTCATGGCCATACTGCATCGATGTAAGTTTAACCACTGTTCTATGATTGTGGCTCCGTACTTATATCGGTAATGTAGTGATGAAGGATGCTTGGGCGTTCCGAGTCATCGGCCGCGACAGCCTGATAAACCCCGGTGGCCCCATCGATCAACTCTTCCCATGGTCCGGCAGTCAAGCCGGTAACTACACCGACTTACTGTATCATTCCGGAGAATCCAGCTCTTTCCAGGCGAACTATTTCGAGACCAATCTGAAAAAGCGAGGTCTGATTGACTCTAGCTTCGGTCCCGAAATCAAAGCGTTTCCTTTCTACCGGGATGCATCAATTATCCATGCTGCCATTCGCCAGTTCATGACCGCCTTCGTGGAATTGTATTACAAGGATGCAAGCGCAATTGTGAACGACAATGAGCTCCAGGCATGGATCCATGAGGCAATACCAGCTCAAATAGTGGACTTTCCATCCACTATAGAGGACAAGCAAACTCTCATCGACATCCTGACCCATATGGCCCACTTGGTATCAGTAGTACACGGTACGCTTAACACAAACGCTCTCGCCGCCTCAACTGGTGTTCTTCCTTTCCACCCACTCGCTTTCTACTCGCCGTTGCCAACTGCGAAAGGTGTCACCGATATCATGCCTTTCATGCCACAAGTCGAAGCTGCTATTGGCCAAATTAGCTTGGTCGTGGATTTCAACCGGCCTGCTTTTGTCAACAGCGAGGAAACGATATCGCACATGTTCGACAACACAACCATGCTGGCCAGGATGGGTAGAGAAGTAGAGGAAGCGGAGCAGGATTTTCGACTCGCGATGAAGAATTTTAGTGCGGTCATCAGAGACAGGAGGTTTGGGGAGGACGGCCTGTGCGGAGACATGCCTTATTGTTGGACTACTCTAGATCCAGATACCGCTAGCTATTGGCTGACTATCTAGAGAAATAGCGTCGCAGTGCAGAGCTTACCTAGGTAGATAGAGCAGGTGTTTGGCAGCTCTCTCTCACGCACACACACACGTTCTCTCGTGTATATCTGTATCCACTACGTAGTAATTAATGCTCAGATGATTGACTTCCTACGTGGTCGTATGTTGAATCCACCTGCCCATCCACTCCTCATTGACCCGCTTCGCCTCATCCACCAAACCCAGCTCAAGCAACAGCTGCACAGAACCCCTAACAGCGGAATGCAGCGACGAACTGACCCAAGCATGCGTCGGGGCCGTATGTTCCCCAATGAAGATAGTGTTGTGCTCCGTCTGATGGTATGCCGGAATATACAACTTATGCTGCATCACATCCGGACGGCACCAAGCCGTCCCCGTATGCTCGTCCTGCAGCCAACACAGCTTCTCGTAGTCACCCGTATACAGCTCTCTCGCTTGCTCTCCATGCACACTGACAACAGCATCCAACACAGTCTGCACATATTCTTCGTCTGAGAAGCTCGTGAACTCGTCACTCCAGTGGCCACCTCGATAATGCAGGATCAAGCCTGGGCGAGACTCGTTGAGGCCGTAGACGGGATAGTAAAGAGCGCCGACGGCTGCACTAGGAGGCGTAGAGTATCCGCCGAAGATGGGACGATCGCCCTTCTCCCAGAAGCGTTCTTTGAAGAGTAGCGCGACTTTGCAGGCGGATTTGAAACGGAGGCCAGCTTCGCTGATTGCGCGACCGAGTACGGAGGAGAATTTGGGAAGCGACATGAAGCGTGTCATGGTGAATGGTACTGCCATGATTGTGTAGTCGTATTCTTTCGACTCGTACGTTCTGTTGCTGACACTAGGATACCACGACAGTTTCGTGCGTGTGTGACTTTCGGCATCTTCGACAGCCTCCAGTTTTCTGATCTTACGGTTGAGGGTGAGACGGTCGCTGACATGTGGAAGGAATGCATCAGACAGTCTGTTGAAGCCGCCGTCTACACACTTCCACTCAGTCAGGCCCAATGCATCCGGTCCGCCATCTTGCGCAAGGTTCGAGTTGTGCACTAACTCGTCCCAGAAGACGTCGTAGTCGCTCGCTGTCCAGATGGCGTCTGTGACGTTTTCGCTTGCACCGAAGACGTGGCGCATCATGGCCTGCTCGCTCCAGTCGTCGAGACCTTGATCCATGGCTTTCTTGTGTTCGCGCCACACATCGCGTTGCACGGCCTTGAGTCTGTCCTTTGACTTCAAAATCTCGTTCATGCGCTGCTTGGTTTCGGTGTACTCCTGCGTGTCCAGTGGTGCTGGTCGCCCAAGAGACGAGTTTGCTTGGATCTCCGCTCGCGTCGGAAGCTGTCCATTTAGGAGTCTGCCAGTTCCCAGGCCGAGGATCTCGTTGGGGTGATGCTGGACCCATGGAATGAAGTCGACTTTGTAATGCGGATCGTTTGCGTTCATCTCATTGAGCATCTCGGCCAACTGGAATACCATTTGATGGTCGCTGTATTCGATGGTCTCTCCGTCCTTGTATGTAATTGAGTGAGGAAGGCGCATAGGTCCCATCTCCGCCCATTCTTGCGTTCCACCAACGTACTTGGTTCGGAACCGTCCTCCGACCCGGTCACTTGCCTCGATGATCTCCCAGTTGTGCACACCTACGCTGTCAAGCATCAGTGCCGTAGCGAGACCAGAGATTCCGGCGCCGACTATCGCGATGGTCGCATTCTTCTTGGATGAGGCCGCAGAGGTGGTAGTGTTGATCGCCGCGACACCGTCGAACCATGCTCCAAGAGCGTCGAAGTCTTGTAGCAATGGTCTGGTGCGGCTGACGTCCCTAGTCTCTGAAGATGTTCTGGGATTCGAAATGGGGTTGCTGAGCACCAGCCCTGTAGAGGCTAACGTAATGGTTAGTAACCTTGACATCCTCGCTGCTGGATACACCATGTTTGTTAACACTTTCGACTTGGAAAGCTTAAAACTGAAGGATGGACAAGCCGTGTTTGTGACACCTTGATCGTTTAAGCTTAATATAAGACACCAATTACCCGCGAACCATGATGGCCAACCACCATGCGCCTCCACTTGGCGGATGGACACACCGCGCATCTTGACGGAAAGCAGCAATCCAAATCAGTACTCAAAACATTAGAGTGCCATCACGGTAGGCAGAGGACTGTGTCGCATTCCAGCTCTGACACAAACATTACAATGGAGCGAAGCTGGGCGGTCATACTCAGCGACCCGAACGCGCGCCCCGAAAAGCTTTCAACATATTGTATACAGCAGCATCTTTCGTCTTCCACTCTTTATCACGCGCTGCACCTCTGGAGTCGCCAAACGTGTATATCATCTCCTCGTTCTGTTTAGTCGCCTCGTGGTTCTTGTTTATGTTTCTCGGCGGTACTTCGTACCGAGTTGGGGTGAGGACGTGGACTTGCAGAGTGGCGCTTTCGACATCGTGGATGAATTGTGCTGCTAGCTGTCAGATCTTGTAATGCATCTCGGATGAGGCGAACGGGTGCATGCGAGAAGATGGGCGGTCTTACTCCATGGGATACCCAGCTCTTCGGCCTCAGTCCGGGCTTTGCTCCGTGCGATACAGCGCTCTTGCAGCTCCCATTGTTCTAGAGAATGTACGGGTGCATCACCCGCCTTCTTTTTCGTGAGGTCGTCGAGGGATGGCGAATGCAGACGCTGCGTCACGGCTCTAGAGATGAGTTGTCGGTATTGTACTCCTTCCTGACCACTGTTTATCTTGTCTTTGCGAGCTCTCGTATGTACGTCGGTGTTGAAGTTCGAGGGTTTGGCTGAGCTCAGTTCTAGGAGCGTGATCGCCATGACGCAGCGTCCGAGATAGACGATCGTAAAGTAAGGACATGGGGTCGTACAGAGAGAGGGTGAGTATATAGCTGCTGGTGTCAAAACATTGGCGTTTGTGGTATGATGAACTAGACGCGCCGTATGCTCATTATTCAATGATGCGATTGCACCATCGTATGCCTGAGTATCGGGGTAGCTAGTACTTTCTCGGTTTCTTCACCATCCTCCTCTTCACGTATAGGCAGCACATGCTTCTTATTTACATCGTTGTCTTGTTTAGAGACCATCCCGTCCAGTATTTACAGCGTCCTCGGAACTCTACAAGCTCAGCCCATCGGCCAGCACTGCACCGTACCAGATCATAGCCCCCAAGCCCACCATGTTGACCAGACTGCTGACACCGTGCAGGATGCCGAACTGCTTGTTCAGGGCCTGCATCTCCTTACTATGTGGCCCAGCATCATAGCTCTTCTTCCCATCCCTCGTCTCCTGATGCTTCCTCAGACCCATGACCTCCGTTGTCTTGGGTCCAACGTAGACCCAGTTGACCAGCGCGGTGAGGAACATTGTGGTGTGCAGCCAGGAACTCAGATTGTCGGTTGATGTCGGCGGGATGGGCGAGGAAGGGAGGAACGGCAGCAAGGACGATGCTCCGCCGCGTGGGTACGTGAGCAGCATGACGACGGGAGTCAGGGTTTGTAGTGTGAAGTAGACGGGGAAGGTGTGCTTCTGGAGCGTGGAGAATTGAGGGCGAGGGAGGACGCGGAAGGCTACGATGCCTGAGACGAAGGACTGGAAGAGCGTTGAGCCCAGGAGGGTGCCATAGCTGTGCTTGTGTTAGAGGATCTGGAACGTCAAGGGCTGGGAGGGTAGCTCTATACCTGAGTAGATGGTATGTCGCCGGGTTCTTGAATGAGGAGAACGACATGTTGGCGATTGTATCTTGTCACTCAATCGTACTGTCGTGAGAATGAGAGTAGGAGCGAGGAGGAAAGTCGGCGTTTCAGAGCGCCACGAGCAGCAGCCTCGGCAAATGATGATCTCACGACATGTCGGAACCATGCGGTGACCCTGCATGCTACCCGCGCGCTATCCCATCTACAGCCTCGCGCGTCTGCCCCGCTAAAGATTTCGCGAGCCCCTCCATTGCGCATTATGGCGTCGTGCGACAATCCTTCAGCCCGCCTAAGAAAGGATCCCAGCCCGCGCCCGACCAGACCGCCGTACACCGACCCTCACGATGCTACTTCCTTCGCTGATCAACCTCCGCCGCCCAGCCAACACGCCACTCGAGCCTGAAGACATCTTTGGGTCCTCCCTCGGCGGCATCTTCACCGACGATACACAGAACCAGCATGGCGATGACCCGAGCACGGTCATTCTGTACCGCAACGCCAAGTTCGGCGAGTTGGAGATCAGGGTCGCGGATGTGAACGGCGAAGAAGAAAGAAGAAAGTTTGCGCACTACCTATGGAATGCCGGCGTCATGATGGCAGAACTGGTCAGCGGGCGAGTGGAGGGTGGCGATCTAGGCGCCAGTGGGAAGGGTCTACACGAAGATGAGGAGGGCTGGAGAGACGGCAAATGGTGGACAGACAAGGAGGAAGAGAAAAAATGGAGCGTGGAAGGCGAGACGGTGTTGGAGTTGGGTGCAGGTGGGTCGGGCTGAGCAAAGAGAGGCGCAGAAGAGAGTACTGATGGAACATTTGCTCGCAGGCGTAGGATTGGGCGGGATTCTGAGTACATTGGCGGGCGCGAAAGAAGTACGTCCATGCTCAGACTCGGATTTTGCATAGGCTCCAACTGACAATGCGCTAGGTCGCCATCACCGACTATCCTGCCGCTCCTATCCTCGATACCCTCAAAACGAACGTCGCGAAGAACGTCCCAGCGCATCTCAAGCCCAATGTGACCGTCGAAGGTCATCAATGGGGCTCCATAAGCACACCCTTCGAGACCTCGCACGCGAACCGCTACACGCGCATTCTCGCTGCAGATTGTCTCTGGATGCCATGGGAGCACGAGAGCCTCGCCAAATCGATGCTGCACTTTCTATCCGACGACCCATCCGCACGTATATATTGTATCGCAGGCTTCCATACAGGACGCGCCAAAGTCGCACCCTTCTTCGAGGAAGTGATACCGGAGCAAGGGCTCGAGATCGAGGAGATATACGAGATGGACGTAAACGGGCAGCGGCGGTCATGGGCGAAAGAGCGCGACGGTGGTACGGAGAATATGGGAGAGCGGAAGAAGTGGCTCGTTCTCGCGCGGATACGGCGGGCTGTTCGGCAGTAGTAATGGTAGTAATTCTTCTTCTCAGCAGACGAAGCGCTGAATCACACCCTCTTGAAGCACAGCGTAACCACACTGCTACCCGTCTTGCCTCCAAAAGTGAAGCTGGGGTACTTCACTTTGCCCTCGAACTCCAACTCTCCGCCTCCAAACCAGCCCTTGAGCTCTTCTTCTGTCCAATTGCAGCTCGTGATGAGGAATCTGCCGCCCTTTTTCATGAGGGGCTCAACCTTTTCCCTGTATCCTTCGCAGATCCTACGGCCTTGCGCGTCTTCTTCTTGCGACAAGCAGATGGCGTCGAATGTGCCCTTGTCCAGTACGACGTCGAAGCCAGCGCCTAGCCACGCGCCCGGTGCTTGCGACAGAATATCCCACTCATGGAACACGATGTCCCTATAAGAGTCATCCTTCGCGTCGCGAATCGACGTGGCAAGCGTGACGCTCTGCGCAGAGTAGTCGACGCCGACCATCTCGCCGTTCCACTCGTCCTCGCGCAGCGCAAACAGCAAATGCCCATTGCCTGTTCCCAGATCCAGGAACCGCGCCGCGTTGTGGTCGTCCCCGTCGTCCTCTTTGTGTATGTGGCCCTCGTCGCTGAGGTCTTCAAGGAAGGATAGCATGCGCTCTTCGGCGCCCGCGTCGCTGAACCATATCGTGCCTTCGTCGTCGGCGTTTGCGGCAAAGTTTTGGCGTTCGGTGTTGTAGGCGGCGTCCCAGTAGGATTTGGTGCCCAGTTCGCTGGGGTCGAGGTGCGTGGGTGCGGTCATTGGATGAAGGTACGAGGAAGAAGGAGCGACTGCAGTGGGTGTAGGAGACGTGGGTGATGCGACGTTGTGGCAGAAAGTTGGTGTTTTGGAGGGGCAGATCTTTGGTTCCTGGCTAGGCGCTCGCGCGCCGTGCAAGCGAGACGGGCGTGGCGCGCTGCCCTATGTAGGAATGACAAAGCATGTCAATCATCATATGCACATAGCGATTGTCATAAGAAGAGTCGCATGGATCAGATTGTATTTACTGGGTTTCTTTTCGAAGTATGTGGTCGTCATTGCATTTGCTCCAAGCTACATCGAACCACATTCGCTACCTAGGTATCCGCCGTCCACCATCAGACATTGTCTAGGTCTGCGAGTACCCCTACGAGGGTCGCTCGCTGCTACGAATCACCTCACCCTTATAGACTGTCCGATGGACAAGGTCATAACCTTGAGGGTCTACCTGATACCGAGCGTTGGTTCGCTTCCAATAGTCTGTTTGAATCCCTTTGAGCCAAACCTCGTCTTTCCACTCTTTTGCCCATTCGTCTACTATCCAATGTCGTCTCTCAAAAAAGAAATCGTCCCCATGCCATATGTCCCCTACTTCTCCAGTGAAGGTTATGTTGATCGTACCGTTGATCACGGCGCGGATAGTGTTGGAAAACCCGTCCGGTAGATGCCAAGGCAAGCCACTAGGGCCTAGAAAGCAACGGCCGAACAATCTGGAGGTTGGATGCGTATTGTTTACTCGGCATTGATGTAGCATGGCTTCTTGCATGGCTGCCGCGTACTTGAGAATGTCCCAAGCCTCGAGAGATTCGCGTGAGTGGCCATCGATGACGAGCCGAAAGGAGCTCTCAGGCATCCCACGGGTATGAAGTAGGTGAACCTCCATCAGCCACGGAATAACAGCGTCTAAAACGTCGGATCCACCAATCCAGTCATGCCCGTTGATGTCGCTGTATGAATGACCTAAAGGTAGGAGATTGGCTAGAAGATCGATGCGTCTCTCGATCCGAAGCTGTGGATGCGCTTGGCATATAGAAATGAGACCTCGTACATGGCATACAGAACGCGGCATCGACTTGAAGTCTTCGTGGAGGACGAGCTTGCGCAAATTATGCAACCTTTTTGGGGGGATTTGATGCACTGCGCCTGGTGTTAGAAAGCCCGTTTCGTGTGGATAGTCCTATGTTATAGTACCCAGCGCTATGATGGAGGACCTGGGAAGTCAATGAGATGGGGTATCACTTACGAAAGTCGATCGCTACTGCTGCAGCAGAGAAGTATTATTTACTGTTACGTAGTCGGCGAGGGTCATCCACATGGCACCAGTTGTAGATCAGCTCATCGTCTTCTTCAGGCCGGCAAACGAGTCTCTCCATTCTGGCAAGTTCGCTATCCGTCGGAATAGACCAAGGCTTTGGCCTCCAACAGAGTACATCGTACAGCGCCCCTTTCACAAATATGTTATACTGGCCCATACCTCGAAGGTTGTTCACGCGGCGGATCCTGTTTCCGAAAATTCCGCACGAGAGCTTCTATGAAGTCTTGAGATGTGTGATTGTCCAAGCTCATGTCCATGTATTGGGAGAGTGTGTTAGTATTTTGCGCGATTGCCTGTTGCAGATGTCGTTCGAAACAGTCTTCGATGACTGGATAACGAGCTTTTATTTCAGCAAGATCTGACGCCTCAAGTAGGTTCGCGACACAGATCAAAATGTGTTGCCTCTGGACCTGAACCATATCGAATACTAAAAAGCACATCAGTCTAAGCTCACAACCACTCAACGACATTCGACACTTACGCTGGCAAAATCGAGCGACTCTAGATCGGAGTTGCTGGAACGCTGTGCCATCATCCAAGGAGCAAAGCGTAGTGAACTCGACATTCTGGAAAGCGACGTGCTGCATCTCGTCTGCAGCGATCTTGCAGGTTGTTATAAGACCGAGGCCCTCCGCCTGTGCTGAAGCATCGGAGTAACGTAGCTTTTCCGTGTCCTTATCGTACACATACTGTGGTCGACCCTGGGCATAGTACTCGTAAATGGTATCCCGTATTTCTCGTGGAAGTCGAAAGAACGGCGACTGTGTTTGTCCAAGGATGTACTTTGTCTTTGGTGTCGTCATGAAGGGAAACATGTTCCAGTGCGCGAAGTTGTTGGAGCCTCTCTTGTTGAAAGCCATCTTGGGTGTATTGGGTGCCATGCAGATGTCGATTGCGACTGCCCGGCATCTTATAGTGCGATGGCGCAGTGTCAGTCATACCTCCTCTGGCCTTTTGCCGATGACTCCCAAGAAGGATGCACCATGGTACCAAACTATGGTATACGGTATGATTGCGATAGCGTAGATGTTGTTCGCAATGACCAGCCCGGACCAGAACCAGACCGCAGTCTGAGTCAAAGGCGCACTCTATTCTTTCTCAACCAAACTAAGGCTTGCTGGTCGTAAGCAGATTCATCGGGTTGAAGTGTGCTCATTGGCTGATCACCTGGGCACCATTCAGCTTCAGTGCAACGACTCATCGGTGGCCGTAGGGTTGTATTCTCAGTGTGAGTGGCATGTCCGTCAAGAGTAGAGCTGTAATTGTGGGTGCTACTGGTTCTACGCGACGCGGACGAAGAGATGGATGGTCGGTCTTGCGCGGCCACGTTGGCGCGGGCAGCCCAAGCTGGAGGGCAAGCGCACCCGCCCAGGCGCGCATAGTCGCACCTTCCAGGCGAACAGAACGGCACCCAAGCTGCATCCTGCTTCACAGCCCTCCGAAACCGTAACTTCAATCGCCTAGTGGATCTCATGTCGCAATATTACCTGGATGGGGTCTGAGAATTCTCGGATGCCCACACCTCAAGCGGCCTCGTGGACGACGCATGTTCCAGGATGGCGGCCGCCGTCCGACCCGCCTTTGAACTTCGACGAAGATAGGACCTTATCCACGCGTAATAAATTCTGCACACATTCACATCCCGCGTCTTCCAGTCACGCAGTGGCCGTATAGCTAGCTCTAGATGTCCTGAACTCGATGTTGTGTAGAGTGACTCCCGAGGTCGTTTTCGTACGCAATCAGTCCGCGCACACTGCGACCGGCTTCTATCCTACGTTCGAACGAGGCAGCACTACGAGTCGTTTCAAGTGAAGCGGTATGAATTATGACACACCTACAATTCGCATGCCATGCGCACTACAGCCAGGTTTTTCTGTGCGTTGCGACCCAGAACAGAGGTGGGGGCAAAGCGGCCAGTTGCCTTGTTGAAGAGAACTCGGTCAAACCTCACGATCGCGGTCTATCGGTTACTGCTGAATTTACGACGGGCTTGCTATGGAAAAGTCACGCGCTAACATGGCAAGCGTTCCTTGAGATAACGCTCTGAAATCTTCGGCCAGAAGTTCGAGACGATGCCCTGGTCGACGGTCTCATTCCAGTCTGTCTCCCACTGCAATTCTGTCCAATCCTTCCTTTCGGAGAAGAAGGTGTCTTCGTCCCAAACCTCGCCCACGTCTCCGTTGTACCATACGACCGAATTGCCCTCACAGATATCGCGAACCATCCTTGCGAATCCTGAAGGGAAGTCCCAAACTGCAGAATCGCCATCGTACATCGGGCGCAACTCCCCTGTGGGCAGGTCTGTACCGCTGAGTTGCAACTGCTTGTGTCGGGCCTGCTGCGTAGCGGCAGCATATTTGAGCATGTGCCAGAATTCTGAAGATTCCCTTGCATCGTCATCTACAACAAGTTGAAATGACGGCAGAGGCATCCCAAAGGAAGGTAGCAGAAGTAGCACTTGGAAACAGTCTTCACTGTAAATGAACTCGTCTTCGTAGCCAGACACATAATCAGAGCCTGGTGGAAGGAGATTTGTAAGCAAGCTGATCCGTCTCTCAATGCGAAGTTGAGGATTCTCATGACAGAATGGGACAAGGCCGCGCGCATGGCATTCTGGTCTGGACACGGCTTTGACGTCTTCATTCAGTACGACTGATCGGAAGTTGGCCCTGCGTTGTTTGGTTATGCTTTGAACTGTCAACAAGTTAGTAAAAGCGTCTCGCAATCGCCCACTGTAGCCTCAATGGATTAGGTGACCTAGAAATAGATGCTGGATTAAACTCACAAAACTCAATCGCCACAGCGGCAGCAGAAAAGTACCAACGATAACGCGCAGCATGGAAATGTTCTGCGATATCGGGGAAGTAGAAGACGCCTTCTTCTGTAGTTGGAAGCAAAGTGTCCGAATCGCCAGGCTCACAAATGAGTCTTTCGAGTTTTGACAACTCTTCATCTCCCGGGATGGACCACGGTGTAGGATGCCAGTGATATATGTCGGATAGAGCTCCCTGTACGAATAGGTTGTTCTGCAAGAAACCTAACGTAGTCGATCTGATGGGACAGTCACCGAGACCGAAGGTCTCACATGCAAGCTCTGCAAATCTTGACGGATGTCGGTTTTTCGCTAGTACCAGTGCATGTTGGAGAGCATCGCTGAACGACTGGCTAAGGAATTCTTTGCAACTGTCATCCGATGTACCAAGCTCGTCCTTTCGATGTGTAACTGCGTGGTTCAGAGGTGTGTGGAACCAGTGCTTGATTGTGGGGAATCGGCTGTCTTTGTCCATCAGGTCGTCAGGTTGTAGTAATGCGGCAGCGCAGACTAACATGCGAAATTTTTGTCGCTCGACATATTTCAACACTGCGTCTCTGTCAGAATGTCGTTGTAGATAGGGTAACCAAGAATATTACTGACAGCACCTAAAGCGCCCTGCCCTTGAACGAACGTTCATGTATTCTTTCCCATCATCTAATGAACGTTTGGGGTAGAAGTGAACTCTTCCGAAGGCACTGTCTTTCATTTCTTCTGCAGCGATGCGACACGTAATTCGTAGACCTAGCCGAACGACTTGCTTAGGCGATATTGACGGGTTCTGGTATAGCAGCTTGCCGGTCTCATTGTCGTAGTGGTAACCGTCATGCTCGAGAAGGCAGTATTCGTAAATGACATCTCGAATCTCTTGAGGAAGGCGGAAGAGTGGTGACTGGAGTTGAGCGGAATAGTATTTGGTTTTTGGGGCGGTCATGAAAGGGAACGTATTCCAATGCGCAAACTTGCTAGACGGCCTGGCAACGGGTGTAAAAGCCATGGTGATAGATTTGCGAAGCGTAGGAAAAGAAAGTTCTTAGCAAACATGAGTAAGGGAATTATTGTGACGTGGCCATGACTCCTCTTGATATTGCCTGGTAAGGTTATCAAAACCGTGGCTCGGGCAAGATCGCGGCGAACCCCTACCAAAGTTTAGGATGGCGCCATGACTCATGCTCGAGAATGGCTCCAGAGAGCCACAACGTTCCATGATTAGAGGCCTGATATGATTGAATCATTTCTTATCAGCAGATGATTGACGTTGACCGAAAAAAGGGTCGATTCAACGTATCCAGGATATGACGGCAGAAGTGGTGGTGGCAGCCCCACAATACGGAGATGATGTGTACAAGACATCTAAAATACACGATGCGTGTGAAGTGGGCTGACGAATATTTTGGATACAATGAGTTCAAGAGGTACTTTATGAAAGACACCGCGGCAGCTAATGGTTGCGCGCGGTGACCGTTTTTGCTCAAACCTCAGACCGGTTACTGTACTTGTTGAAAATAGAAGGCCAGCAATCCGTGGCGATAGCCTCCGTAAATGTGACCTTCACTTTCCAATCCTCTTCCCAGTCATCATCTGTCCAATCTTTTCGCTGCTGAAAGAACTCTTCCTCATCCCAGAGCTCACCAACTTCCCCATCGTAGTAAACCATAGATCTACGTTCTGCAATGTCTCGAATCATTCGTGCAAACCCTGCTGGGAGACTCCAGACGCCAAGAAGACAATCGGCATAGTGTAACGGTGCCGGTCTAGGCTCGAGCGGACCACCGCTTGCTTTGCGCTGCCTGAGTAAAGCCTCCTGTGTAGCCGCCACGTATTTCAGTAATTTCCAAGCCTCTGCCGCCTCTGTACCGCGACCGTCGATACGAAGCTGGAAAGAATGTACTGACATCCCGTAAGACGCTAAAAACAGCGTTTCTTCGATCCAGGGGACCATCACGTCTAGACAATGACTACCCATGATTGTGGTATCTCGTATATCTATCCTCTGAACGATCAGAGCCGGGAGCAGGTTTCTCACGATACCTATATGCCTGACGATGTGAAGCTTGGGATGTTCCAGACAGAACGGTATGAAACCGCGCGCATGAGAAACCGGACGGGACACCGCCTTGAACTCTTCATCGATGAAGATCGTCCGCATACAGTCTCTCTGCTGCTTTGAAGAGTGTTGTACTGTTCATATCAGTGTGCTGCCGTTGATCGAGGTTTTGCCTCTCTTACAGAAGTTGATTGCCACAGCTGCAGCAGAGAAATACCACCGATGATCTAACGCGTCTAGCTGACATGTGATGCCATCGAAACAACGCGTTCCGTTCTCTTTCGTTTTCACCAAAGGGTTGTCCAGGTCGGTGGGCTGACATATGAGAGCCTCAATCTTGGCCAACTCATTCTCCTCTGGAAGGCACCATAGCTCGGGCAGCCAGTGAAGTATCTCTGGAAAAGCACCTTCCGTGAAGATGTTGTGCTGTGGCATTCCCATTGCATAATTTCGGATAGGGCATGTCCGCATACCAAACGTGGTAGAGGCAAGAGCCTCAAATTTGGAGGGATGTCGAGCCTGAACAAGCATCAGTGCGTGGTGCAGAGCTTCGTTGAAATCCAGGTTGCGGATATCCTCGCGACGGTCTCTAGGATTGGCAAATTCTCCGTTGCTTTGCGCAGCCATTGCTTCTTGCAAAGTCCGCCGATACCACGTCTCCACCGAAGGATAGCTCGCGAACAGAACATCAAAATCTTCTCGATGGAGGAGCTGCGCGACGAGTATAAGCATACGGCACTTCTGGTTCTCAACGTAGCCGAGTACTACGGCGAAGTGTTAGCGCTGAAGACACAGACCAGTTCATGCTGATACATACAGCACTCGAAGCGGCCCGCTCGCGAACGAAGCCCTTGGTATCCAATGTCATCAACGATCGAACCCGTTCCATGAAAATTGAGCTGGGGAAATGCGACATCCCTCATCTCCTCGTTGGCGATGCGGCAAGTGATACGGAGACCGAGTCGTACCACCAGTGGTTTGGGCGTTGTGGAAGGACTCTGATAAAGGAACTTCTTGACCGAACTATCGAAGTGATATCCATCTTCCTCAGACAGGTAGTACTCATAGATTCGATCCCGGATTTCGCGAGGCAGGCGATAGAGTGGTGATTGGAGCTGCGTGGAATAGCGCTTTGGTACGACACTTGAGGTCGGCATCGGTGTTGGTGTTGTAGAAGCCATGGAGGCTGTACCTAGAATGAGATACTGCTGTTATAAGTATTTACTCACATTTTCTGCACCTACATTTAGGTCACGCTTTCCCTCATTTCGTATGCTAGGAAGACTCATCGTTTCTAGTATGGGAACGAACCACAGGCCGTGCCAACATTGCGCGAGGAGTCAGGGCGCTAAGAGACCCCAAACCATGTTCTTCAGGGACTGACTCGTCGATATCATCGTTGCTCAGCAAGTAACACGAAGGTAGCCGTTGGTAAAATCGTATTATCTCCCGAGTAGCTTGCAACGTGGATTTGCCGATTGGAGAGAAGTCGACGAGTGTAGCACAGCATCCGGTACAGGACTGGAGATCTGTGCAGAGGTGATTACGACAATCTCTCGTGACTCAAACGCGGACAGTCACGTCGCAATAGTTGTGTTTCGGCGGAACGCGACGCGATGATACATTCTTGACTCTAATGATGGAGGATGTCGTGGGTGGTGCGGACGATGCGGCTAGATGGAACTTTTCTGAATCTGGCTAGGCCAAAAAAAGTTCGAGGCTACGTCATGGTTAGTGGAAAGGTGTGGGCAGGTGGCTGCAGTGCCTACACGCTTCACAGGCTTAATTCTCATATATACGCATCTCGCTTGCAGATAAATGTCGCCGTGTTTGTGAGATATTCATTGTCTCTATCGCGCTCCTGGTAGGTAGAACAGACACCCGAGCTTCAACCCTGTTCTTGCACTTTGAACATCGCAAGCCAAGGTTTGGCCTATTGATACCAAAACCCAAAGGCATCCCCATTCCCAAACTCCTGGTTGACGAACCCGTCCGCCAGATCGCCAAAGTCAAACACCGCATTTTCTTCGTCTGGAAATGCGGAATCGTGCCGTCCAGTAGAAGCAAGGTTGTGTTCATACGCGCCAGTAAGAATCCTGTCGCTGTAATTGAAATCGACATCACCAACACCCGCCATGAAGTCGTCGAAAACAAGTTCCGGCAACAGAGGTGCATCCAATCCAGGCGCGTGAGTAAATGCCAGTGCAGTATCGAAAGCATCGGCTGCCTGACTTTGCGACTCAAAGTGGTGCTGCTCACGCGATGATCGGAAAGTAAGCGTCCGTGCCAACTTCGAGAGCACCTTCGGGCGTCCTTCGCTCGAAGTCGGCCTCTTCTTACTCGCCTCAGAATCCTGTCTTGTGGTCCCTTTCCAGTCCGCCATTGTTAAACCATCTTTGAAGTGGCATGCTATGTGCGTCTCACGATCGTCCCAAGTCTTCAGCACCTTTGCGCAGAAACCGCAAACCCAGTTCACCACGGCATGATTACCTAGGCCCTCTCGTCTCCAGAGATCGCGGGTGGTCTCATCTAATTTCGCTTTGTGGAAGTTCTTGACGTGCTGACGCAGGTGATCGGGTCGCAGAAACGTTCTTTCGCTTTCGTCCTTGGCCATGCACTCAGCTACGCGGTGGCATTCGGCGAAGTGCTTGTCGCTGGGGTTCGCTGCCATGCAGAACACACACGACGTAGACGCATCTGAACGAGACGATATGGTGAGACTAGGGCCAGTGAGCAAGCATGTCCACTTTCGTTTGGGTCGATGCTGGGTTTCCTCATGGCGGCGCCAGGATTTACGCGCGATATGTTGGTAGCAAAAGGTGCACTGCCACGTCTGCGATTCGCTATCGACATCATCGGTAGATGGAAGTTGTGATTTGGATGCGAACGAATGCGCTTTGGAGACCGAAGTAGGTACGTTGACAGACTGGCCATAATCCTTCTTCTTGCCTCGCCTAGATGTAGTTGTGTTCGTATGACTGGAGTCGTCACCTGTGTAATGAGACGTGACCGAATACCGACGATCGGATGGTGCCTCGAAGCCTGATGAGGTGTCTCGGTGCGACAGCGCTGTGGATATTACGCTAGAAAGTCGAGTATTCCGAGCCCCTTCATCTTCCGAGGCCGGGTTAGGTGATTTCGTATCAACGACCCTTTTTCGCGCTCGCGCATTAGTAAACCAGGTGTTGACCTGCTTCTCAGTGATACCACATTTTTCGGCTAGTGAACGCTTGGTCTCGGTGTCTGGATACGGATCGTTTCGGTGTTCTTTCAGCCATCCTTGCAGACATCGCGTCGCATGCGACTCAAGCTTTGTGGGTGGCCTTCGGGCACAAGAACGTTTGACCTTTGATGGCTGGTCTGACGAAGTTGGAGACAGCAAACCCGTGTGTAGAGTGCATGAAGCACAGCTGACGGGCTGGTCTGGGTGAATGAGTGCCGAGATCTCACATGCAGAACATCGCGTGGTACTCTCAGATCGGGGAATTTCCTTTGATGGTGTTGCTTTTATAGGATGTTGTCGAGGTGCCGCCGTCGTCGTCTTTGGTAGTTCAGCAGTACCTAGGATAGCTTCAAGCGTCTCGAATCCTTCGCTCGTGCAGTCGTCGCATCTAATGTTCCCGTCGGGGTTGATGATGTTCCAAAGCTGACATCGGAGGCAATCGATACCATCACTCTGCGTCGGCAGCAATGATTCGTCACTAGTGCGAACTTTCGCTGTAAACACGTCGACTTCCGTAGCCAGAGGCCTAGTCGAGTCGGTGATTGTTCTCGCGCGAATGTCATCTACCAGTTCAAGGCTCACAGGTCCGCCAGGGTTTGGTTGATTGTGCTGGTTGAGGTACGTAGGCAACGTTCCATGAATCGTGGAGCTTCCAGACTGGTCGATCTGCTCAGCGTTAATAATTGCGCAACACACAACATTGCGCACGATTGTACCTGGAACCCCTCATCATCTTCCAATGTGCCTGAGCCGTACCCCGAATCAAAAGACCATATACTAGCGGCCTTACTCTTAGGCGGTTGGGATAACATCTTGTTGAAGCGCTACACTAATGTTAGGGTGCGTCAAATCAACGATTAGTTGCCAAGTATCTATCGCAATACCGTCAATAGTACGTGGAGACTGGACCGCGAGTACAAATAACGAGACACGTTCCGCGACGACGCGCGAGGACAACCACTCGATCTATTCTGAGATACAGGGTGTTCGTGGCTTGGGCTGGACGCCTAACGTGTGGCACGACTGTGGCGTTGCCTTGCTATTGGCTCGAGGCCTGTCGTTGTCGGGACAGGGAGGATAGGTACCTCAGCCTCGCCTGAGGCTGAGTACATGGAGGGTTGTACTGTTTGCTTGCCACGCTATACTGAGCGTGGCGCTGACCTGTACTGGCGGTGCGCATCAGAAAGCATCCAGACAGACGGTATGCACTATTTGTGACGAATTTGATGGACCATGGAACTTCTGTTTGCGCGAGTGCATCTAGTGTCATGGATGAGATCCGTTAGAGGTCGTAGTGAGGAGTCGCCCGTCGCCGATACCAGACGTCATCACGGGGAAGGAACCAGCCTCCCGCAAATCGGCGCCCGGGAGCTATCGCGTCACCGTGTTCTCAGACAGAACAACCCCTGTCAAACAATGATATGCAAAAACAAAGATCTTGGGTATTCATTTTTTCCATCTCTCGCTCTACCAAACAATGCCGTAATGCTATGGCGCAATTTTGCGAACGATGTGTGTAACTCGAAGTAGAAGGAGAAGCGCTCTATAGCAGTGCGCCTGACCTTATCCATCCCATAACCATTCCTAGTCCAGCCGCATGCAAAAGATCGTAAAGTCGTTCCATATATTCGTTCCCATGTGTTTTGGCCCTCAAGCGGCTTCTCCAACCACCCCACTGCCAGCACCAGCGCCCTTGCACCAAGGGTGCTCGAGCACCATGCTGATGGTAATCCTTTTCTCCACATTTCGATCTAGCATCAGTCGCACAAGATCGATGCTCTCTTCCGACATGACCCACGGTACGCGGAGATCATGATCCATGATCTCGTCAATGGAATAGAAGGGGTTTTCTTTGTATATGATGGTGTAAAGGAGGATGCCAAGGGCCCAGACGTCTTGTTCTTTACCGCGGTAGGCTTTTCCAGCTAAGACTTCCGGGGCAGCGTAGTCTGAAGATCGTTAGTATGACAATAAGGATTCGAGAGTGACGGGAAACATACCAATTGTGCCTACAAAGACGTCAAAGGGTCCGCTTTTGATGTACGCTGCGCTTCCAAAGTCGATGAGCTTGATGTTGCCTTCACCGTCGAGGACGACATTCTCATCCTTGATGTCTCGATGCACGACCTTCGCTTTAGTGTGCAGATGATGTACCGCTTCTGCGACCTGAACAAAGATCTTACGGCACTCTTTCTCTTCCATGTTGACACGTAGCTCAATATAGTCGAAGAGGTCCATGCCCGGTAGACCGTGCGGTATCATCTCGATGTAGTAGTTGATGTCATCCTCGAAGAAATCGGCCATTTCCACAATATTAGGGTGTTTGAAGCCGTCGCGGCGGAGATAGTCCAGGACGTGAATCTCGAGCGGCACAGTTCCAAGCCTTCGGTCTCGTGTCCACGTGTCGACCAAGATGCGCCGCTTCGTAACATACTTGATCACAACCTTCTTGTTGCTGTTCTTCTTGTATCGACATAGCTTGACTTGCCCATAGGCGCCTTGGCCCATATCCTCCAACACTACAAAATCATTGATAGTCTTCTTCTGGGATGGCTCATCCTGTGCAGGTGCTGGCGGCGGTGCCATGGCTCCTTTCTGAGATTGTTGCGGAGTATTAGGCCGCATGGCTTCTTGAATCTGCTGTGTGAGGAGTGATACTGTAGGCGGTGTTCCTTGCGATTGATGTGATTCGGGTTCTTGTGGCACGGAGAAACTGGACTGGCCTGGCTCTGGTTGGCGGGGTGAGGGTGGCCGTGACATAAGGGGAGTCACTGGACCGATACCGTGGTTCGCAGCGTGCAGTTGCCTGGAGTATGTTATCCACAAAGCGTAGACCAGCTCTGGACCCTTGTTTGGTTTCGATGACCCATCTTCCTCTTCAATGACATTCTCATCAAATCGGGGTGACTTTTCGCTCTTCACAACTCGCATTTGCACGTCAACCATTATCTCTGATCCGTCGCGATGTAAGGCTGGCAGACCACTTGGTCGCAGGAAGATGGCTGCGGCATCTGCACTACCTTCCCGCATTGCGAGCAGGGCTCGTGCGCGACGAAAGCTGTGTTCGGGAATAACGATCCCGTCAACCAGCTCTATCTTGTCCTCGTCTGTCATGACGTGCAGAATTCTGTCGAACGCGGGTATGAGCTTGCTGACGTGGATACCTTCAGGTCGCGGCTGCCCAAACAGAGCCGCGGAGAACACGGAATTGGAACTCGTAATTTTGAGGTCGTCGGACGATAGGACAATGATGCCGGCGATGTGAGGGAAGCTAGATATGCGGAAGGTAGGTTCGCCAGGCAAGGCTTCCACAGTCACGGGTATATTGATGCTGTTCGACGTGCGAGCTGTGTAGCTGCGGAACTCGTCAATGGAGTCGTAGTCTAGTACTCCAGTGTTTGTTCCTCGGAGTCGTGGTATACCTGGTATGAGACGCTTGAGATCCATGCCCCTCCGTAACCGATCGCTCCCGAAGACAGCTTCCGTTGCGCCCCAGCCCTTGGATACGCAGCCTGTTTCGTCGACCGTGATGTACACAACGTCTTCGGCGATCTCTTCAAGCACCCATATGAGACTGCCCCGCTTCTCTTTGACCCACAAGCTGGCCGACCCAGTCGAGCCGTCGCGTTTCTGTATCGGAATAACGTCTCCACAGAGTAGGACGCCCCTTGAGCCCTTGTGTTCGTGGTTAAGCTTGCCGGTCTTCTTCGCGTTGTAGTAGGAGGATCCACTGCCGTCGTCCGTTTGTGCTTTCCTCGCGGCTGTCACTCGTGATGGAGCCTTGCTCAGTAACCGCGCTGTGACACCGCTGCCGACCTTGAGATTGTTGTTGGCAGCCGATACTCCAGCCGGCGCGTTCTTCGAGCCACTTTCAGGATCCTTCAGCTTGCTCTCGAGCCATTTCCTGCGGTCCTCACGCACGACCTCGAGGATGCCCAGCTTACGGACCTCCGCCCTTGTTACTCCAAATACCAAGCATGCCAAGTCGTTTGCGGATGTGATAGTCCACGGCGTGTCTGTCTCGGTCGTAAAGATGGCCTGTGCTGCTGGAGCGTGTCGACTTCCGTGTCCATGCGGCGCTGAGCCCGCAGAGTGAGGCCCTGGTGCATTGCTGAAACTTGGTGGCAGAGTCGGTATGCTCGCAGGAGAAACGAGGTCTCCGATCTTCTCCTGGTCTCCGACCCGGTATGGCTGTGCAAGGGCATCGTGGAGCTGACTTTGTATCGTAAGAGGCGCGACGTCGGTGAGGGTACGTTTTAGTGCGGCCCGTTGGGGTCGTGCAGGCTGCGAGGAGGGTGGAGGTGGAGAGGCGGCCGCTACGCGTGTGCTCGACGCGTCGGAGGTCAAATCGGTACTCGATGAGCTTCGTCCCTCTCGAGAGTCTGACGTGCTGCTGTTATCGGCTACGTCGATTGTAGTCGCCCTGTGTACTGGGGGTCTCGCTGCTT